TATATTAATTGTGTAATACAACCATAAAATAAATTAGAAATATACATATATATATATATATAAAGTATACGAGATAAATAAGACTATTTAAAGAGATAAAATTATACACATAAAATAAAGTATAATAAAATAATTCAAATATTTATAAATTTTAAATTTAAAGTATGTAATCCGCGCGTAGCGCGGAAAATGATCTAGTTGTTTATAAAAGCTGAAATTTGGTACCAGAAGCTACCAGCGTCGGAATAATCACTTGAATTGCTTTTCCATATTAAATCTAAGGAACGGGCCCCATATTCTGTCTTAAAAGAAGAAAAGAAAGAAAAAAGTATGATTAATTGATAAATGAGAAAGAGAGTTCTTATAAATATTGAATTGTTATTAATCTACTCTATAAAATAGAACGTTTTACAGATGCAATCTTTAAGAAAATTTACGTGTTTTTTTCTTCTAATATAGGTATGATTCTTAGTATTCTTGAATATAATGTTTGATTCATTATATAGATCTAAACGATCTTTAAAAAATTAATGTGGTGTCTACAAAAATAAATTAATAGGTTTTGTTTCAGTGAAACTAAACTACCATATCCAAACCAATCTGGTTGTAAGAAAACAACCTCTTTGTTTTTATAATCTCTTATTCTTCTTCTGAAAAAATCCATTCTTTTTATGTTTTTCTAATCGAGTTTGTTTGGAGTTACTTGTCTCATAGTTTTAAAAAATATCGTTCTTTCCATGTTAATTACAGTTTTTTAAAACATATTATATTGTTTAATCTTAAAAGATATAAATTGTTCCAGAATTTCAACAAATTTTAAAAGTTTTTTTTATCATGTATAAAAAGATAAAATAAAAGGACTGCGACTTTAATTTTAAAGTTTACTTAATATTGCTATGCTAAACACATAGCATTTAAATTTACACATTTCCAAACACAATTATACTTTCACTCTTTTATTATATAAGATTATTTTTTTAAGTTTTGATCTTTATAAAAAATATCTAGTTTATTAAATGATTCAAAATGATTGATCAACAAATATAAATTATGTAAATTTAACTTTTTAAAAAAATATCCTTTCTCCCGCGCGTTTACGCGCGGGGCGGTTTCCTAGTTAAAATGGAGTAATTCTTTTTATCTACTGATATAAGTTGTCATTTAAATTTGGACTCATTCTAGAATGTTACAAATAATATAAGTCATATAGTTGATTGAACCGTATTACTTAAATTAAACCGGCGGTTATTTATGGAATAAAGTTTTGGGCTTATTTTTGTTTTTATGATATTTAATTGTTTGATTTTTGGGCTTATTATTAAAGAAAAACTCCAAACAACATTAAATAAATTTTCCACCTTAATGGTTCAAAAATCAATTACTATTTTCAGGCCCAAAAATATTTAATATTTTCAACAAAATAAAATTATCTATTATTAATCACTTATTTAAATCATGTACTTTAAAACATGTTTATATTTTTTAGCCCAATTTCAACAAAACAAAATTATCTATTATTAATCACTTATTTAAATCATGTACTTTAAAACATGTTAATATTTTTTATTTTAAATAACAATCACTTTATCTTGATAAATTTTAATGGTAACTTTCTTAAATAATTTACAGAGTTTTTTAAAAACGTAAAGCAAAACCAAAAACCAAATCTAAAAACTAAAATCCAAAACCAAAAGCTGAAAACGCAGGTTATATTTTTTGCTTTTTCTATTTACAAAATAAAATATTTCAAAATTTTTAGAAAATTATTTTGTCATTTTTCAGTTTTAAATTACATGTTCGATTAATTGAGATTTGTTTGTTGGTAATATCAGTTCAAATTAACTCAGCAGGTCTAAAAATTAAAAACCCAAACCAAAAGCTGAAAATCAAAAATAGAAACTTAAAAACTAAAAACCAAAAACCAAAATTTAAAACAAAATCTAAAAATAAAAACTGAAACTAAAAACTAATGAAAAACAACTATCACCACAAATTTTGGTAAACTAATTTTATATGAAAACATTCTTTAAATTAAGACAAATCCCAATTATATAAATTTTTAATCATAAAAATTTCGCGCTTTGCAAGCGCGGATCAAAATCTAGTACTTTTAAAATAATTCGAACGTGGAACTAGTCCCATTGCAGAAACGTACATAACAACCAGAATCGAACACTCACTTATTCAGTATAAATCTAAAATCTTTCACTAACATGAGACAGTTTCAGTTCTTGCCTTCTGTCAGCAAAGCAACTATCCTTGTAGAAATGCAGTAAGCAGTAGCCTGAATAGTGATCATTGGATTCACTCCAACAGCTGATGGCAACACGCTCCCATCACAAACAAAAAGTCCCTCTGCTTCCCAACTCTCACCCTTCTCATCCACAGCACCTTCCTCAGCCGTACGTCCCATCCTGCAACTACCCATCTGGTGCGCTGAGAAGTATGTCGTCCAGTGCTCTCCCTTTGTGCTTACCCCACCAACCGCATCAACGCTGTCTAGAAACTCTTCCATGGCTTCTTTGGTGATTCCTTCACACTTTATCCTCTGTCCATCACTCCTGCATAATCCAATTGTGAAATGACTTAAAAAGAGTTACTACTACTTACCAATCTTTACAAACAGGTCGAACAGAGAGCCGGTCCTAAAATTTTCGAGATTACAGAAATTAAATTAAGTAGCGGTTTTAATTAAAAAAATCTCATTTTTAATAATCATAAGTTTAAATTTTTTTTATAATTTTTTAAACTTATGATTATTAAAAATGGGATGGATAGACCAATGTTTCATTCGGCTATGTCTATGTTCGAGTGACGTACCTATATGTTCCGACTTCAACTGCACCTGCTGCAACCAAAACCCTCAAAGCCTGTCTCAACCCTACCCTAAGATTCTCTCTATCTTTCTTACTTGTCCTGTACGTAACCTCGTTTTCCTTCAGAACCTCACCAGAACCACAATCCCTAACAAGAGCAAACAAATGAGCTGTCCTTCCGTACTTCATCATCCTCTCCCTAAGGTCAGCTCCTGAAACCCACGGGCTCAAGCCAGCATATGAAGCTGGTCCAGCTAGTGGAGTCTCCAGTATAGCTCTACAACCAGATTCAGCATCATGTACATGATGGACTGATGTAATAATCCCTCCCTCATACATTTTCCCAGAGAACTCAGAACCGTTCTCTGGGAAGTAACCCCATGTCATGAGAACAGGATGCAGCTTTAGGTTCCTCCCTATGTTCCTGTTCTCAAGCCCACTTGAACGCATCAGAGGAGGTGTCAACAACGAACCAGCTGATGAAACTGTAACCCTAGCTTCTATCATGAACTTCTTCTCAATCTTTCCTCCAACAGAACTCGCTAACACTCCCACACATCGTTTCTTCTTCCTCTTACCGCTAGTGTTGTTCTCTGAGAACATGAACTTCTCAGCTTTGACACCTGTCATGATCACTGCACCATTCTCCACAGCATCAACAAGCCAAGTCCTATCTGTCCCTTTCTTGCTACCTTCTCTACAACCATACCCACAAGAACCACAGTAATGATCTTCTGATGAGTTTCTTGGAACAGAAACTACCTTTAACCCTAGTCTCTCACACCCTTCTCTCAAAACCTGGTTCTGTAACCCTTCTTTAACACATCTTTCCGTTACACCGAGTCTTTTAACAACTTCATCCATCGCTAACTGATACTCTTGACTACCGAAAAACTTGATCTTACTCTCTTCCGACCATTCTTGAAGCACATGTTCCGGTGTTCTTATAGAAGCCGACCAGTTAACTGCTGTTCCTCCTCCAACCGTTGAACCAGCCAAGACCATGAACTTACCATCAACACTCGTCATAAGCCCACCTTTCTCGTATAGCTCCATCATAGAAGGACCTTCAAGGCCCGAATAGTCCCGAGCTGTGAAGTAGTTTCCTTTCTCAAGAACCAAGACTTTTAATCCTGCCTTCGCTAGGTTTGCAGCTGCAACTCCTCCTCCACTCCCCGAGCCTACAATAACCACATCGCATCTGATCCTATGCACATTGTCACTATCTTCTCTAGCGACATGAACACCTTTTTGAGTTAGAGACTGTGATATGGTGACGTCACTCTCGTTCTTGGTCTCAATGATCCCTTTAGAGAGAGGTCTTGGCGTCTCGTCATGATCTTTGCTCATCTCTGTTGTGTCAATAGAGTAGCCTATTGCTTCTAAAGCAGGATTCTTCATATTCTCATCCATATGTGAACAAAAAAACAGACAACTTACTTACTATAGCTCCCAAATTTTAAGGTAATTTAACATATATATATAAGAAAAAACTTATATAAACTCTTCTATAACCCACAAAATCTAAGGATCTGTTTTAGTAGTAATAATTGTTCTAATTTTACCTGGGAGAAGAAGGAGAAGAGAGTGTAGAACTTTGTAAGGAAGAAAGTGATACGAAGAGGAAGGAAGAGACCACTCTGTCTTGACCACATCCTCAGGATCTCTTCTCTTTTGTCCAATGGAAGCTCAGAGAATTTAAGGACAAATGGCCAGTTCTTAGTTAGACAGAGAGAGCCACAAAGGAATAAAGTTCCAAATCTATATGATAAGATTGTCAATATGATACTCAGAACCTTCACTGCTTCTGATCTTCCATTCTTCACTATCATCTCTGCTACCTATAGAGAAGAAATCAGCAAAAAAAAACAACACAATAGTATCATAACCAAAACAGTCATAATCTCTATAAAAAAAGATTAATTACCGCATAACACTTTTGATACATTAATAGTACTAAAGCCAAAGGAAAAAGATAAAAGAACTTAGTTTTTTTGTTTTAGTTTTTGCTTAAAAAAGGATTTTACCTAGTTGATAAGAAACATAACAAGATCTTGATTTTCAGAAGTCAAAACGAGCTATTTTCAAGATTAGACTAATTCAAAAACTAGAAAAAAAAACAGAGGATAAAGAAAAGAAGGAACCTCATCGGTGAAAGGTGGCTGAGAACCAGAGGCTACGTTGAAGGGATCAACACCTTTTTTCTCCGTCGTGGTGTTTGGAGGAGGAGGGAGGAGAGTTTGACAGATGACGGCGAGAGTTTGAATCTGAGATTGTGATAAGCCATGGCTATAGCCACCTTCTTGTCTCTTCTTGGATTTCAACAGAGGATGATGCTCTCTGCTTCTTCTATCGTCTTCCATGTTTAATTCGCTTGGTTCTCCTTTCTTCTTCCACTAATCTTGAATTTTACTTATCCGTGAGTTTAAAGAAGCAGCCAAGTCTTGTACCGTATCAAGTCTACCTTATTTTTCGGGTCCACACTCTGATAAGATTGTGATACGAGACTTAATCATATGTCATGTAAAGATAGATCTTTTGTTTTTACCAAGAAAATACAAATAGATCTTTTGTCTTTGTGTACCTGATTTGACTTGTGAATACCACTTCTCAGAAAGTCCTTTTTATCTCTTTTTGTGCTTATGTAACTCCCAAAAGTAAAGATTCTCTACTTTCTATTTACTTCTTTATTTTGTTTTATTTCACTGTAGATTTGTTCTCTTTTTACACATTTTTTTTTTGCGTCGTGTATTACTTAATACTTAATCAGGATAAGTTTACATAATCTTTAGGTCAACGTTGGTGCTTAGCTAAGATGAGAAGAAAGTCAGGAAAGACAATAAATGCGTTTGCATGATTGAATTTGATATTTACTGTATTGAATTTGATGCGTTTGCATCAACCCATTCCTAAGAGCATCCCCATCAGTGAACCTGATGGGGGAGGGGTTCATAAAATAAAAAAATAATTTTCTTTTTTTTAGTTTGCTTTTTCCAAAAAAAAAAAAAAAAAATTAAATTAAAAACGGACCAATTGCGGAACGACACGTGGCGAATCCCGTGTGAACCGGGTTCATCCCGACGAACCTCCAAGACTCGGGTTCACCAAAATCAACATATTTTATTATTATTTTTTCTTGATCCGCGTGTGAACCTCGCCCACGAACCTTCAATACGGATGCCCTAAAGAGAGTACTGTGTGAGAGCATTAATATTTTTTGTCTTGCTTCACAACAATATTTTACGAAGTTTGATGCATATCAGTTACTAGTCCTAAAAACTTGGTGATTATATACTCCTTCTGTTTCTAACTAAATGTCATTATACAATTTTTTCCTTATGTCAAAATATGTGTCATTTTACATTTTTAATACAATTTTTCACGTATAATTTTTTTCTTATTCTTTTAACCAACCAATAAATGTTTTTTTAAATTGTTTTTATTTAAATAATTATACATTAAATAAGGGTATAATAATATTTTTTTCATTTTTAATATATGAGAAATATGTTAAAATGACATTTATATTGAAATGGAGGGAGTATTAACTAACCTGCGATTGAAAAATAATTGTAACTTGTGATAATGATTGGAATACATTTGGGAGAATATCCGATTCTTTATGACATTTATCTGTTTGGAAAACATTTTAAACCCAACAAATCTAAAAATAGTATAAATTTAATTTTTTTCATATGTTAAAATATGTGAATAAAATATTATAAATTATTGATTTTGGTAAGTCCACGATGGAGAAACAAGAGTGGTAGGGCTGGGACGGATCCGGATATCCGGATCCGAATCCGGATTTGTCGGATCCGTGATTTTAATATCTGGATCCGGATTCGTGTTTTCCGGATATCCGGACTTCGGATATCCGTCTAGATATTGTGATATCCGCGGGTATCAGGATTCAGATTCGTATCCATAAAAATAATTACAAAAACTATAATAAAATCAAAATTATTTTAAAATAATACATAAATTAAAATAATGCATAATTTATGAATATATATGATATATAATAATATTAATACTAAAATAGAATATTATAAACTTATTTTATATATAAAAAAATTAATATATTTTTTAAAATACAGATCCGAATCCGGATATCCGGATCTAAAAACTAAGATATCCGGATCCGGATTCGGTTTGTACGGATCCGAGATTTTACTATCTGAATTCGGATCTAGGCACCTCCAGATATCCTAATTTCGGAGCGGATCCGGATCGGATCTCGGATCAGATCCCGGATAGAAGTTTCAGCCCTAAAGAGTAATGCATTGATGTGGTCTGTTTTTTTTTTTTTTTTTTTGCAAAGTGACCACAGTTCTCTGTTTTTGCTTTTTTGTTTTTACTTAAACGGTACAATCTTCACTCAATGCATAAAACAATTCATATGAAATCTTGCATACTTTTAACCGTTCCGGTTTGATGACTCTTAGTTAAGGATGAAAGGTTTATAAGTACTGTAAAGGTACCGTCATTATAGTAGTGGCCTTCCAAATTGTATGGTTGAGTTAACTAAGTATGGTGGCAAACTCGCAATCCTTTGGGATACTTTTGAGAAGTATGTTGGTATTCAGAAAACGAATGCTTAAATGTGTGGTAGTTGAGCTGCGAAGATTTGCGTGGAAGTGTGATGTTCCCTAACATCAAAAGGGATATACTCCTCGTTGATATGCTTTCTTCAGGTTCTCAAGCTATATAGTATATAATATTAGTTATTATGTTATACAATTAACCTTAGATTTTTATTAAAATTTTGACCACTAATAAAGTTACAGATGTTTAATCAGGTTCTCTAAATCCGGATTTAAGACCAACTAGGTATTTTGCATACACGTGTGTGGACATAATAATTTTAAAAACATTTTTAAATTAATTATTCGTTAAAATAAAATTAAAATAAATTAATGTTCATACATTCAAAATATTTAATAAAAATAAAATAGGAAACTTTCTTTATATACAATTTTTATCATAACATAAACATTTTTTTTATCACGTAACATACATTTAAAAACACTAATGCTTTTGAAATATTTAGCAATAAATTAAATATTAAGTTTTTTACACATGAGAAAGTTTGTCAATATACCAAAATTAGCTTTTGTTTCATAAAATAAATTTGAAGATATTAATATATGCATTAATATTATATAGAATATATATAAGGATTTATCTTTTATAGTTTAAAACTTTTAAAAAATAATTAATGTAAAATAATTTTTTGAATAGCACAACATAAATTATTTTTATGCAATGATAATTATCAAATCAATTAAATTTAATTTTAATTTATGGTTAATTATATATTAACAAATATTATTGTTCATTAACGTTAACACTTTATAACATAATATATAGTATTTTAGATAATGATATTATCTAATCATTGAAATTCTAATGAATGAAATCTATTATTAATTAATGGCCAGTTATGTATTAATCTGCTTTTGGTTTATGGTTAATTAATATAAAAATTTTTTAGATAGTTATAATCATCCAATCAATAAAATTTACTTTTAAATAAGGTGAATAATATATTAAGTCGTTTGTAATTATATTTAATTATATACTCCATTAATTAATTTAGTTATTCATTTAAAACAATAATTAATTATTAGTCAAAATATAAAACAATGACAAATAATTAAAACTACCTAAAATTATGAAAAACATGACAACCAAACAAATTTACTTTTATGAATACTTATTAATTTATATTTTATTAATTAAAAACATAATAAGTTATATTTTATGTTTTCTAAAAATATAATATTATTAATATAAATTCATATTTATTATATATGAAATAATTAAAAGCACGATATATAAGAAAAATTCCCTAAACCAAGGAGAAGTTACATATCAAAAAATTCACTTAAGTTTTATGATAGAAAATATATTTCAAGATAACATTCAATTTACTTTTCAAATAAAAGTATAAATTTTTACAATTTCTTCATGTCTCTACTTTTTCCAATATCTATTTTATTAAAACAGAAATACCAATTAAAAATACCCCTAAATTTTACCACTTAATTACAATTTCATGTCACTGAAGTAATTAAATAACTTAACATTAATATTCTTTGTCTTTTCCTTTTTTTATTAATGCATAGCCTAATTCGATTTTTACCTAAAAACATGGCAACAATAATTTTAAAAAACCTGAATCACATTCCATATTTAAATTTGACCAGAGATATTGGGGATGATTGGTTGGGCTTTAAGTAGTGACTTTAGCTTTATTTTCTATCTACAACCATATAAATCATCAATCATGCTTTAACTAGTTTTTAAAGGTAAAGTCAAAAATCTAGAAAAATGGTTGCAGGAACCTCATTTTCTAAAGCAAAAAAATATTGCTGTAAGATTGCTGTAGAAATATCTTTCATTTTTTTTCATTTTTTCTCATTTAATTTCTACAGTTACATCCAAAATTTCTACAAACTAATTTCTACAGTAAAATTTCTACAATTACAGTCCAACCAATCGCCCCCATTAACTAAAAACACGGAACATACTATTAATAAATCTTACCAGAGTTTCCCTATATTATAAATATAAATATATGTAAAATAGTTATATTGCATTATAAATATTTTATATTCCTTTTAAATTTTTATTAAAATACATAATATTACACAATAAATTATATAATTCAGTATATAAACTTAATGCTGTAATATAAAAAGGTAATACACATGTCTGGACCCAGGTTAGTCTTCATAGTTCAATAATTCATTAAACAAAATATACAGCCAAAATAATTTACAAACAATTGAGAACTTGATCAATAAAATATTGGATACATAAATATAAGTCCAATCATTTTGTAAATGGTAGATTTATATGTCCAATTATTTATAAATGTCAATTTAATTATATGATAACAATATCGGATACAATAAACTTTTAATTCACACAAATAAATTTCTCTATCTGATTAATATTTTGACATATTAATAATTATATAATACATCTATATTACAGCTTATCTTATAACATTTCGTAGAAATAAAAACTTCGAACTGAAAACTGATACCCGCGCTATACGTAGGTGTTTTTGTCCACATAAAAAAAAAAGACAAATTAAAATGACGTCAAGAAATTTCATTTGAAATAACATAAATTCCTAGAGTGTATAATTCGAAGCAAATGTTGAATAAAAATAAATAAATTCGAAGATAACCTTCAAAATCTATATTTAAAAAGAATATTTGATGAACATGAGAGTTCTCACCAAATTAATGAACCTCCAATTTAACCCGACCAAAAAGAAAATCAGCTTCTGTTTGTTCTCTTTTCTGACCATGCACATCAACCACTCATCTTCTGCATTTATGGTTCTGGAATCACACACGATTTTTTTTTAAAACGCAGTACAAGAAAATTTATTTTAAGAAAAAAGAAGAACTTATCTCGAGCAATAAATATGATTGTCTCCATTGTAATCACTTTTTTCATAGAGAAATACTCCCTCCGTTTTATATTAAGTGTCGTTGTAGAGAATTTTTTGTGTTACAAAATAAGTGTCGTTTTCGGTTTTCAATGCAAAATTTATTAATTTTATTATGTAATTTGTTTTTCTATTGGTTAAAATATGGTTAGGTGTGTGGGTAATTGTGTTTTTATATAGGAAATATGTAAAATTAATTGTTTCTTTAATCCGTGTGCATAGCTGTAGAGTGACACTTATATTAAAACAGAGGGAGTACTACTATGAAGATCGGGATTTTTTTTCTTTAGCTTTCCTTTTATATTTTTTCATAATACATACGATCTTGTCAGTCTAAAAATAAAATATTTAGGTTAGGATGTCAAAAAAAACAAACAAAATATTTAGGTTAGTTGGGCCATTTGTACAGATATTTTAACAAATTTTAATTAGATTAATAAAAATATGGCACAACTTAAGTTACCTTATTGAAGTTAGGTTTTTTGTGAATTAACTCAATTTTGTTGTCATAGTGTGATCAAATGCATGTTTGCTATTTTTACAAAAATTAATGACTAGTGGTGAATTTTACAGCTATATTTGTATTATGTGATATATTTTTGTCATCATTTTTATTATAATTTCTATAGATTATATAATAGTGTAAAAAATATTTAATTACATTATGTAGACAGAAAAAAACACCTGCCCAATCAGACGAGTCCAGCTCTAGTTTTTATTTATTTTAATTAGTACTAAGATACTTAGCTAAACCTACCCGCTGGAGGAGGCTAAATATTCTTGTTCCCTAACATAATTGATGATAAGATGCATAATTTCCTAACATTTATCATCTGTCCTCTTTTTTATGATATAAAAAAAACTCTTTCTTAGAAAAAGATATAATTTATGAATATTATTGAGAATATTAATGTTATACTCTTTCGTTTACATATGACTAAAAAAATTTAGGGTTAAGAACTAAATTAATTCATCATATTTCCTCTCCACAGCCTCAACTGCTGATAATATATCATGACCTCCGAAGAAGTTGAACCAACGCAAAACAACAACAAGACGGTTCCTGAGCCACTGTCCACGTTTTCATCACTACCAGACGAAATCATAGAGAACATTCTTGCTCGTGTCTCGAGATGGCATTACCCATCGCTCTCTCTAGTCTCAAAGAGATTCCACACTCTCTTATCTTCTAAAGAGATCTACAAGACGCGATCTCAAATAGGAGCCACAGAAACATGCCTCTATGTCTTGTTAAAGTTGCCTTTTCACCCATGTGCGAGCTGGTTTAGCCTTCGGACGAAACCTAATAACCAAGACTCAAGTGGGATGTCGGTTGTTCCTATACCTTCTCCTCCTACCGATTATTTTCCCCTACTACGTTCCATGAAAACGTTTGGTTCGTACATTTACCTAATCGGTGGACACTACTTTGAACCGTCTTCCTCGGTTTCGATCTTGGATTGTCGGAGTCACACTTGGCGTGATGGCCCTAACATGTCCGTGACTAGAAAGAGTCCGCATACAGTTTTACTCGATGAGAAAATATATGTGATGGGAGGTTGCGATATTGACAAGTATTATGCCAACTGGATTGAGGTATTTGATCTAAAAACTGAGTCCTGGACAGCCTTTCCTGGTCCTGACGTTGATGAGATACGCAACCACATACGCCAAATAGGCCAAAGAGGTTGTGCCTATATAGTTACTGTGTTCGAAGGGAACATCTACTTAGTGGTTGATGATAAGGAATACACTTACAAGCCGAAAGATGGAACATGGAAACTTGTAAAAGAGATATCGAGTTTCCTATCCGATGATTCCATTGAGGCTTGGTGTGAGATTGGGAAGGTGATATGTTGTTGCACTGACTCCGGTTATTTAATGTGGTCTGCCTCTGAGATTGAGGGTAGAGTGTGGAGAGAGATCAAGGGTTTGGAAAAACTGCGTGAACATCCTACAAGAGTTTTAACAACTGGGTATGTGTTTGCACTGTTGGACTATGGTGGCCAAATTTTAGTTCTGTGGGATCTGAAGTGTCCCTTGACTAGCCGCCATAAACGAAGCAAAAATATTTGGTATGCCAAGATTTCTTTAGAACCAAGATGCAATGGACGTGAGGTGTGGGGCAAGATTGAGTGTGTCGATGTGCTTACCTTTCCGGACAGACCATATACATGGTTTCATTGTGTTGCTGCGTTGGTTTGATGTCTCTTAGAGTTGGTATGAGTTGTTTCTTTTGCTTCCAAACATGTGTGTTTTGTTCTTTGGGACAATCTTAATTAATTCATCCCTTTGTTTTCACTTCAAGTTACAAGTGAAGTGAGATTGTCATAATTAAGCTAAATTATATACGCACGACTTATTATTGGTAGTTGTATTTGCATTTTTGTTTACGCATTATAGTATAGTAATTTATTTTTCTGATGAAACTACAATCATAGTGAATTGAGATTGCGTTACCCCGGTCCAATTTTATTTTTGATATTTTTAACATTGTGCTACTGTTTAGATTTTAATATCGTACATTTAATATTTTGAGCTTTAGTTCTTGTATTTTAGCTTACTGTTTAGATTTTAATATCGTACATTTGCTACTAGACAGTTTTGTAGTTGGGGGCACAATGTTAAAAATATCAAAAAGTTTCATACTCTTATCAAAACGGAAGTGATTGGTTCTTAGTGTTGTTTCTTGGTAGAGATGATTTCAACTTCAGTTATGACCGTAAATACCAGTCTTCTCAGGTTTCTACGACGGTGGCTGGCTTGTCACTGTTATGTTTTCCTGCTCAATAATGTGAGGCTATGTATGGTATCTACTGATGCTACTCAGCCTTCAATTGATATATGTTTTTTTAATTATTTGTTACAGAGTTGGTTCCTTGTCGAATTTCTCTGGAGAACTTATTTCAACATTCCGTAACTCTTTTATTTTGATATATAAACTCAGCGTTTAAAAAAAAAGAAAAACATATAATTTATAAATATTTTTGAGAATAATAATGTTAAACTCTTTCCTTTACATATGATTAAATAATATTGACTTCACAATAAATATTACATTTGATTTTTTATTCTGACAACGAACAATTATATAAACAAACGGTTATATATTGATAAAAGTGAATTTTAGTTTTTATATCATATACTGTATTTGCAAATTAACTTTTGTTAGAATGGTATAAATACCAAAAGGAATTTAGGGTTAACTAAACTAATTCATCATATTTCCTCTCCACAGCCTCGACTGCAACTTCAGCCGGCTGATAAATATCATGACGTCCCAAGAAGTTGAACAAACCCAAAAGACCAAGAGGGTTCGTGAGTCACCGTCAAAGTTTTCTTCACTACCAGACGAAATCACAGAGAACATTCTTGCACGTGTCTCGAGATGGCAGTACCCATCGCTCTCTCTCGTCTCAAAGAAGTTCCACTCTCTCTTATCATCTATGGAGATCTACAAGACGCGATCTCAAATAGGAGCCCAAGAAACATGCGTCTATGTCTTGTTAGAGTTGCATGATCACCCATGCTGGTTTAGCCTTTGGACGAAACCTAATAATCAAGACTCAAGTGGGATTTCGGTTGTTACTATACCTTCTCCTCCTACCGATTATTTTCCAGGACTACGTTCCATCAAAACGTTTGGTTCGTACATGTACATAATCGGTGGACCCTACAAGGAACCGTCTTCCTCGGTTTGGATCTTTGATTGTCGGAGTCACACTTGGCGTGATGGCCCTAACATGTATGTGGCTAGAAATAGTCCGCATACAGTTTTACTTGATGAGAAAATATATGTGATGGGAGGTTGCGATATTGACGAGTACTATGCCAACTGGATTGAGGTATTTGACCAAAAAACTCAATCCTGGACAGCCTTTCCTGGTCCTAACGTTGATAAGTTATTAAAACACTTACGCAAAAGCCATTGCGATACAGTGTATGTGTTCGAAGGGAAAATTTACTTTATGGCAGGTGTTAAGGAATACTCTTACGAGCCGAAAGATGGAACATGGAAACTTGTAAAAGAGATTTCGAGTTTCCTATTCGATGATTCCGTATGGACTTGGTGTGAGATTGGGAAGATAATATGTTGTTACACTCACCCGGGCTATTTAATGTGGTCTGCCTCGGAGATTGAGGGTAGAGTGTGGAGAGAGATTAAGGGGTTGGAAGAACTGCGTGAACATCCTACAAGAGGTTTAAAACATGGGTATACGTTTACACTGTTGGACTGTGGTGGCCAAATTTTAGTTCTGTGGGATCTTCAGTGTCCCTTTACTAGCCCTACACGAAGCAACAAAATTTGGTATGCCAAGATTTCTTTAGAACCAAGATGCAATGGACGTGAGGTGTGGGGCAACGTTGAGTGTGTCCATGTGCTTACCTTTCCCGCCAAATCATATGGATGGTCTAGTTGTTTAACTGCTTTTGTTTGATGCCTCTTAGAGATGGTATGAGTTGTTCAAACATCCTGTTTTGTTCTTCGAGACAATCTTCTAATTTGGTTGTTCCTATCAAGTGGTAAGTGATACTATCATAAGCTTAATTACATATGCACTAATTATTATTGGTAGTTGTGTTTGCATTAGAGTTTACACGTTATAGTATAGTATTTTGTTATTTTTCAGTTGAAACTACAATAATAGTGAATTGAGATTAAGCAGGTGTAAAAAAAAAAAAAAATCAGTTTAAAAGTTATAACTCCATCTTTAAAAGATGGATGGACCAACTCAGTTTTCGTTAGTAATAAAAACACACACAAAACAAACCGGATATGCAGTAACAACTTGTCTTGATTACAAATACAAGAAGAGCGTAAAAATTAATACAAAAATCAACGTTACATTCATAATACATGAAACATTTGTGAGTTTCGTGGAAACGTGAGGACCAAACAACACTTGTGTAAAGAAGAATCCAATTTACAGTAAAAAAAGATCCGATTGGTAGTATCTTTCGTTTCTTCTTACTTCTTTCTCATTTTCGGATAGAAAGAAGCTCAAAGCTTCTGAGAGCATCATCACGTGCACTCCTAGAAGCAGCCACTCTGTTGCGGTTAAAGGCAGATGCTGTCTTTGACTCATATCCACTCACACCAGCTGCTGCTTGGGCTCTCTGAAAAACAGATGGTCGACCACCACCGCCGCTTGAGGCCACACGGCTTGAGCTGCGGCTGTCCCCTTGTTCACCTGATGAGCTTGGTCTACTCCCTGAGGCCACCGCTCTCCTTGAAGCACTTCCTGATGAGCTTGGTCTTCTTTACGCATGTTGTTTTAAATTGCACCACTTGTTGCAATTATCTTATGCTTTTGGTTCTTGGTTGGTCTCATTATGTTAAAGAGTTAGTGATGCAGCATGTGTGGTTGTTTGTTTGTGTGTGCTTGTCCTTCTATTTCATCTAAGGTACCTGTGAGAGGTTGAATTAAAAAGGGGGAGATTGAAGATGTATGGTCAAGGCGATGGTGTAGCAGATCAAAAGTAATTCATGAAGTGCGACATGAACTACGACATGGATTGATGAAGTCGTGAGAAACAAGTGGCAAGACGAAGTCATTAAAAGGAAGATTTAATGAAGAGTCTGATAAAAGGAGAAAGTTGGAGAAGAAGCAATCGATTCAAAGAGAAAAGGAAGAATGGCTTATTCACTGAAGTAAAAGACATGAAAAGTTTCCATTAGATAGAACTCTAGGTCTAGGGTTTTCTCTGCGATTATAAAAGAGCTTCTTGGCATTGTGTTGCCGGTTAACTCACAGAGAGAGCTTTTAGCAATAGAGGTTTTGTACGTCTAGAGAAGGAGAAGCAAAACATCTAAGGGTTATGAGCTTAAGTGGTTTAGAGACTATCATAGGCCTGTGAACGTGTAGGCTAGTCAACAAGTCAAGGTTTGTCTTGAGCGATTGAAAGATTTCTTTTAGAAAGAACTTGTATGTATTTTTAAAAAGATCAATCTAGTCGAATTTGGAATTACTTATCCGTGAGTTACTGTGTGTTCTAGTTTGTGTAGTTTATTTATCTTACATTAACATAATCTTTGTTTTTCTGCTCATTAAAAAGAGGCTATGTATGGTATCTACTGATTCTACTCAGCCTTCACTCGATATGATTTTTTAATTATTATTTGTTATAGAGTTGGTTCCTTGTCCACACACGAGAACTTATTTCAACACTCTGTAACTCTTTTATTTTGATACTAGGATAAGACCTGCACAATGTATTTAATTAAAATATAGAATTTTAATATTAAAAAAATTAAAATTTACATATAATTAATTTTATATGTATTTAGAAATTTAGAGTTTTTATATAATTATTTATACGTATGATAAAAAACAATTGTAATTAGTACTGTAGATCAAAATTTAAAATTTAATGGGTCCGTTCATATATCGTTTTAGTTTTCAGTGTTCGAGTGATGGAAAATAAACGGACTGTTGGATGGCTTAATTGGTAGAGCATTATCAAGTTCCCTAATGCTTTCTTAAGAATCAGTTGATAGAATATTTCTATTTAGAATATATAAAGTTTTAAAATTAATTTAATATAATTTCTTTTTTTGTCTAATAAGATTAGAAAATTATATTTTTAAAAACCCTTTTTAGATAAAAAATATTTTATAAACAAAATTAATTTAAATTTTAAATTATAATTATGTTTAAAATAATATTATTTATTCATAAGATATGAGATATATATACATATTACTAATAAAACAATGTATAAACTTAACGGTACAATGTCCACTCAATGCATAATAAAATTCATATGAAATTTTGCATTCTTTAACCGTTCCGGTATGATGACTCTTAGTTTAAGATGAAAGGTGGTTTATAAGTATTGAAAAGGTAGTGTCATTATAGTAGTTGTGGGAACCGAAATTTACACCGTCGCTTTCCGTAAATTAGGGAACTTCAAGTTAACTCAACTTTCCCAGAGGTCCCGGATATCTGCTTAACCACACGCCAATCAATCAGAATACGAGAACAATAGTAAAAACAATAAAAATCGAGATAAAGAGCAAAGAGGTTTCTTATTACGATTTTGCGTAAGAATGGTACAGCGAGGTAAAGCCTTGGCTACAAGAGCTGATGGCGAGTTTCCTAGTTCTAGCAACCTAAGACTAAAACCCTAGTTGAGACGCAGCTCGATAACAAAAACGGAAAGTTGCCTAAATGCTAAGTTTTTATGTGATGAAGCTCTGAAAA